CCCCAAAACCCCAAAACCCCAAAACCCCATGATATTTTATTGATCTAAACATAGTAGAATTAAAAATACAAATTTGATTTAAATGGCAGATACTGCTAGAAAGAGTTTCATCCTAAGTTTGAAAAGACTTAAATTTTTCTTTAATAATCTGAGGGAGTATGAAGAGGGGCTTGAGAACAGAGCAGATATACAGTCATGTTCCCCAGATTAACTAAATGAAAAAATCATCCCAGTGGCGAAGTACATGGAAGAGGCTACCAAAGCAATAGTCGAGAGTAAAAAGTTTATAGACTTGATAGAAGAATAAGAAAAGTAAGCATAATTCAGTAAATCTGGCTGAAATCCCTATTTAGTGGTAAACTTGAGAAATTACTGTCAGAAAAGCAAATACTGGTAGATCAAGAAGAAACAGAGCTAAATGAATTGAAAGCCTAAATAGAGCTAGTCAAAATTTAAATCAAGTTAAAGGAGCAAGAAGAAAAGAACATTAGAGATAAGATTGCCAATGAATAAAAAACTACACAGCTCAAAGTTAAGAAACTAGATCTAAGTATTTAGGATATCATTGACACACAGAACTCTGAGCAAGACCTCATTCAGGGTAAAATAAATCATTTGGAGGCGAAGAGAGACAAAATTCTCTTTGAATATCATAGAGTGCAATAGCTTCATTAGAAATCTCAAGAAAAAGTAAGATTACTCCTCTTATATATTAAACTATATAGAACAAATTCTTATACTTCTTTCCATCCAAAGTCTATAATTAGAAAGAGCGTATAATGAGGAAAAAGGAGGAATTAAAGCTTTATCAATCAATCATAGAGGAGTCGATCAGTTTTTTCGCTGACAAGATAGATGAAAACAAAGCCAAAAATGTACTAGTCAGACAGATGAACAACGAAGTGCACTAGATTATAGAAAATGTGCTTGATTAGGAGAAACAGTTCTTCGAAAGTGATACACAAGATAAACTTAAAACTCCACCTTTTGTAATGGTTAAGAGAATTGATAGGGATTAAAATGCTAAATGACATTATAATACTGCTTTTGCTCAATGTAATCTATAAATTATGATACTTTGATTGAATATTCAGACTAAATGTTTGAGAGTTATTCAATGAGAGAATATATTTCAATGATGCGCTAATAATCTTATAAATCAGGCTATATTTTTCCTAAGGAACTTGTCATTTAAGAGGCCATGTTTACTACTCATGTACTGCTTAGCCATCTTTTCGACTTCTTTGGCATTGTCCTTTACTTTACCAAATCCTAGTCCACCACTGTTCCCACTACTTTAGGCTTTTATCTTCCTTAATTCTATTTCTGCTTCTGTGAGGCCATATTTCTTCCCAGCTTTACCTCTAAACGCTTTATGCATCCTCTCCTCTATGTCCTCAGCAAATTCTTTCATACTGCCATTTATATGCAGCAAAGTATTCATTATCTCAATCTTGGTCTCAGACTCATAATTAGGTCTCTGCTGCAGTCTAGCTTCTCTTGCATCATCATAGTCATTGCTAGCAGAGAATATCATTTACTCCAAACCTTAATTGAATTTCTAATCATCAGTTGTGATCTGTTTTAGCTTTTTGACTTTGGGCAACTAAGCCTCTGATTTCTATAATTAGTTTCTCAGACCATTAGACTTGGTTTTATCTATTGTTTAAATTGTTTTCTAGCTTTTCACATTCCTTAATGACTTAGCTTGGCCAAAATTACTATCCTTATTTAAACCCTTGTTTATCATCACATCCTTGGATTTTTCATTGATAGTAGTTAGTTGATTTTTAAGTTAATCCACTGTAGTTATATGAGTATTAATATTATTCTTGGTTTTTCTAATCATTTTACGAAGCTCAGCCAGGTCATCTGTGCCCTACGTAACTACTCTATGAGCTTCGTCAACCTCTTTAATCATTTCATTAAACTCATCAAATATGTCCTATTTTGGCTAGTACAAGTCCTCTGGAGGAGGGGGCTACTCAACTTCCTCCTCTGATTCTTCAACATACATATCGGGCGCAGTCATAAATGTTTTTTTCTTTTACATTTCTTTAATTTTGCCAGTAATAAACTGAATACGCTTCTTTCTCTTCATTTTTGCTTTTATCTCTTTGATCTATTCCTTGCTAGGAGTATAGTTATTACCATAGTTAAAGTCTCCAAACAACTGATTTTCATAGTTAAACTAAGATTACTAGAATTTAGAAGCTTAAGAGAACGTTTGATGGGTATTGATAGTGGCTAGGGGATCCTTTTTGTTTTCTTTGTTCAGCTTATCATCAATGAGCCTTTAATACTTAGTGCCTGAACTTTGCTTGAGATCCGGGAGACTTGAACTATCAAGATCATATTCATCTTTATCCTCTGTCTAAAGTAAGTTAAAGAGATTGTTTTAAAGTGATTTTATTTTATCTGAGGCAATATTTTGAGAGGGGATTTGACTCTAGCTTGCACTTCTCATATAGTCCTTATTGCTTGTAGATACATTAATATATTCTTTATTTTAATCGACAACTGTGGCTTACGATGAAGCCGTAAATTTATCTCTAAATCTACTGCCACTTTTACTGTTAGTTAATCCTCGGTTGTTATTATTTACATTTTCATTCGGGCAAGCATTTTTAGTCGCTAAATTAGAATGCATGATTAGCACCTTCGATTATGTCTTTATATTTGGAATCGGCGGCAGTTAAGCCATATTTGTTTGGCTAACGTTATAATTTTAAGCATTTTAAACTAATGTTCTAGCTTGGCTATTGTTAGTCAACAACTAACTCTTAATGTTGTTATGAGATGGCTTACGGCTTAATCCTTCTCTAACTGATGAGCTTTAATACAAAGTATTATTATTGGCATTTGTGCTTTCAACTTTAAAGATTGAAGCAGGACTGTCCTTTGATGATAAATTAGAAGTTTAATTTGACGAACTTGCCAGTATATGATGATCTTTTGACTTGGATTTCATTTTATGAATAGCTCGAAAATTTATTTCTAATAATTTATCTTTGGAATTTCTGTATTCTCTTCGCAAGGGGTTTTGGGGTTTTGGGG